GATCCAGAACAAAAAACAAATCTGTCTTGGAAGAAGTACAGCCAGAATGCTCCTTAGAAGCAAGGATGGTGAGATATGTTATCAGGAGGGAACAGTCCCTGGAGAAGGACATCATGCCTGGTAAAGTACAGGGTCCGAGAAAAAGAGGAAGACCCGCAATGAGAGGGACTGACACAGTGGCTGCAACAGTGGGCCCAAGCATAACAATGATCATGAGAATGGCACAGGACCGGGCAGTATTTCATTCTGTCGTCCACAGGGTCACTATGAGTTGGAATGGACTTGACGGCACCTAACAACAACAACACACACCCATGAAACCATCACCACACTCAAGATAATGAACATATCCATTACTCCAAAAAGTTTCTTCCTGTCTCTTTGCAATCCTCCCCTTGGCCTACTTGAGCCTCTTTGCTTGTCTGTAAAATGGGGAAATGATCCTAAGGCAGACCCGTGAGGATTATAGGAGTGTAAAATCCCTTGATAATCAGTGAAGTCATTTATGCGTAATAAATGTAGTTATTATGAGAATTGTCATGATTATTTCTTTGTTCTTTACCTGAAACCTCAAAGTCTACATGGGTGAGGGAAGAGCCAATTGGTGCTGAAATGAGCAGGTGATGGGAAAGAGCAGGTGTTGCCTGGGAATTCCTGTTGTTGAGCCTTGGAGGAGGGGCACACTAGCATGTGTACATATACACACGTGTATACATGTATATGATGTGTAGACATGTTGTTTTGCCCCTTCCCAACCTGCAACCCCAGAAGGACATATGGATGGAGGACCTTGGTCCTTTAGCAAACGCTTCAGGGTCTGAGATCTCAATCTGAGAGGCCCTGGATGGAGATTCTTGGTACTGGTGAATCTGGTGTCCTGATGGTAATGGATTTTGTTACCAGTGCATTTTTCTGCCTACCTGGTGTGGATGTTCTGTTGTGGGAGTGGTCAGTAATGTACTTTGGCTTTCAACAGATGTGAACGAGTGTGCAACTGAGAACCCCTGCGTGCAAACCTGCGTCAACACCTACGGCTCTTTCATCTGCCGCTGTGACCCTGGCTATGAACTTGAGGATGATGGTGTTCACTGCAGTGGTAATGCAGTTTGGCATTGGAGACTCCCACCTGTATGCGGGGTGTGGGGGTGGAGGGCAGGGGCCTCCTTCACAGGTGTTTCCTCTAATTTCCCGGACACATCTCCAGTTTGAGACATTTTCCAGTGCAGTTGGGTACAGTCACATAGAACAGAGATGAGTCACTTCCTGAGAGGTGGAGTGGTGTCCACCTCTTATGGGGTAGATTTGGCCGTTGTCATTTGACTCCTAATGCAAAAACCAATAGAGCTACCTTCTAGGGCCTGAGATGGGGCCAAAGAGAAAGGGGAGTCACTCAGTTTTGCATGTTGGCTTGAGAGTTATCTGTCCTCCCTCACACTGATTCAAGTCCTGGGAACAGGACAGATAGAATAATAGCATATCCCGTAGGGTAGGGCTTGGGGCGGGGGTTGAATGAGATCATGTTTGTAAGTGGAAACGCTCTGTGAACTTCTAAAAACTCTATGAATAATCAGTGTCTATCTCCGTGGTCTATCTCCATGCCTAGCACACAATGAGGATGCAATAAATAGTTCTTGAATCAATGTATGAATGAATGTTGAATGAGTGAAATCTTAATAATGTGTGAGAAGATAGATGTGGTGGCTTAATTCACCTTTTGTAAGTTGTTTCTAAACCCAAGAAGCTCTGATTCTCTGCCCACGCTAGCTTGTTGAGTCTGTTATAATTTTCTTACTAACTCTCCTCTTTTTTTCCCCAGAAAGTTAAAATACAATTACTAGATAGTTAGAAAACTATTACGAGATTGTGAACTCCTTGAGAATAGGGGCCACATCCTACTTTCTTCCTAGATTTCAGTTCCACACATGACACACCCTGGGGCCTCTGGGCCAAGGATTAGGAGGTGTGAGAAGTTCAGCAACATGAGATGGGCTTATTCGTTTCTGCAGAATTCCTTGCAAGTCTGCAGATGTCCTTGGGTGGCACAAATGGTTTTTGCTTCGCTGCTAACCAGAAGGGTAACGGTTCAAACCCATCTAGTGGCACTGCAGAAGAAAGTCGTGGTAATCGGCTTGCATAAAGATTACAGCCAAGAAAACTCTATGGAGCTCAGTTCTACTCTGTAACACATGGGGTTGCCATGAGTCGGATCCAACTCAGTGGCAGTGGATTGTTTTGTTTTTTAAGCACCCTACCCAGAGTCATTTTTATTTTGTTGTCCTTCCTTCTTTCTTCTTCTTTCTCTGTTTCTTTCTCCTCCTTTCCTCCCTCTCTTCCTGTTTGCCTTTGTGCCCTTCCTCTCTCTGCTGTTTGTAAATGTTAACCTGAAGTAAACTCCATTCCACCTACTTTTGACATCAGCAGCTGTAAATTAGCAAAGTCCAACTTAATGATGCTTCAATGTGTTTTTCACAATAGGCAGGCCACACACTAGGGCGTGACAATCCCTTTGTTCTGCAGAATAGAAAATTTCCCTGTCCTGAGCTTCATGGTAACAGGAACTGACCCAGGTCATGAGTGAGACTTGTGTGCTAGCTTCACTTAGGCCTGGGACGTTCTCTCGTCTAGGGACAGAGTTCCCCGAAACAAATGAGCGCCCTCTTCCCAGGGCCAGGGAAGCCAGAGCCAACAAGGAGGCGGTTACAGAGAGCCTTGGACTGATTAAGTGTCAGCCCCAGAAACAGTAATAAAATACCTTCAGGCATGAAAAGCTACTTTCTTTCTAGATTTCAGTTCTACACATGACATTCCCTGGGGCCTCTGGGCCAAGGAACTAGGAGGTGTGAGAAGTTTAGCAGTATGAGATGGGCTTATTTGTTTCTGTAGAATTCCCTGCACATCCACAGTTGTGTATGCCCCGTCTGCAGAGGCAGTCTGGTGGAGTGACTCAGGGGCCAGGCTGAGCTGAGTTCAAGTGCTGGTTTTCCATTTACTATTTTCCATGACCAAGTCACTTACTGAGCCTCAGTTTCCTCATTCATCCCCACTGATAAAGATTAAATGAGCTGGTGTACCTTAGCATCATCACCTGTTAATTTCCCTTCCCTAGAGTGCACCTGGAAACCCTGGTAGCATAGTGGTTAAGAGCTACAGCTGTTAAACAAAAGGTCAGCAGTTCAAATCCACCTGTGCGCTCCTTGGAAACTCTATGGGGCAATTCTACTCTGTCCTGTAGGGTCACTATGAGTTGGAATCAACTCGACGACAATGGGTTTGGTTTTTTTGGTTTATGGTGTGCCCAGTACTTACAGGTGCTTTGCAGGGCATGAGAGAAGGAAGTGTAATACAATGCTGGCTTTTCAAGGAACTTGGAACCCGGGTGGCACAGTGGTTAAGAGCTTGGCTGCTAACCAAAAGGTTGGCAGTTGGAATCCACCAGCCCGCTCCTTGGAAAGCCTATGGGGAAGTTCTACTCTGTCATATAGGGTTGCTATGAGTCAGAATCAACTTGATGGCAACAGGTTTGGGTTTTTTTGGTACACCTACGTGGGTTGGCAGGGATCTTCAGTGGACTCACTTTTCCTCCATGTCCACCACGCTGCTCCTTTCCCTTAAGACTTAGAGTGACCCCTGGCTCCTGCAAGCTTTATAGACAGGCTGGCCCCAGATCACAGTGTGACACACAGAAAGTGTGTTTCTGTGCTTCTCCATCTTCCCCAGGAAGTGTTATCCCCACTGTGTTATCATAGCTGGGGCGGCCCTCCATGTAGTACCTGACCTTTCTTAGCCTTGTCGCTTTGTCCCTCCGGGATTTGCTAAGTTGAGCTGATCCTGGAAGCCAGTCACTCACGTGGATGAGTGGAAATGGCCTAACGTATCCTCCCTGCCAGAAACCAGGCTTGTATTTCACCTTCTCAGTGGTGGGTGGAGCTGCAGCCCTTAGCCAAGACTGGGGATTGAATGGGGTCTATCAGAGCCCCTCCCAGCCCGAGGGGATGGCAGGTGGGGGTGAGTGCCACCCTCCCTATCTGCACTGGAGCTGGCTCTGCTCAGGGGATTGCCCCAACCTCAGGACTCTCAAAACCCTCTGATTTTAAGGTTATTCAGAGAGGATTTATAGCATTTTATTGAGGAATGTAGGATCTGAAGTCTGGCTGTCTGGGTTTGAATCCCAGCTTTACTACTTACTAGTCATAAGAGCCCTGGTGGCTCAGTGTTAAGCATTTGGCTGCTAAACAAAAGGTGAGTAGTTTGAATCCACTCAGCAGCTCCGAAGGAGAAAGACCTGGCGATCTGCTCCTGTAAAGATTATCGCCTAGAAAACACTATCGGGCAGTTCTACTCTGTTACCTGGCGTTGCTTGATGGCACTTAACAACAGTCGTATGTGAACTTAGGCAAGTTACGTAACCTCTGTAAGCCTCAATTCTTCTTCATAAGATGGGGATAACAATAGCACCTCCCAGGTAGGGTTAAAGGGTCCCTGGGTGGTGCAAATGGTTAACACGCTCAGCTGCTAACTAAAAGGTTGGAGGTTCAGGTCTGCCCAGAGGCACCTTGGAAGAAAGGCCTGGTGATCGACTCCTGAAAAAAATCAGCCATGGAAAACCCTGTGGAGTACAGTTCTACTCTGATAAACATGGGGTCACCATGAGTTGGAGTCAACTCAACGGCAGCCGGTTGTATAGGGTTAAGGTGAGGAATATGATGAAGCAGGTAAAGCATTTAACACAGTGCTTAACACCTAGTGAGCTCTCAGAAATGGACGGGTTCACTACTCCTTCCACTAAAGTTATGAATGGGCAATCTCCAACCTTAGCAGAAATAAACCAAGAGGCTCTCTGTTCTGATGGGTTGGGGCCGGAGACCCAGCACTCTGCCAGCTCCTGGGGGAGGGCAGTGGGCTCTGACAGAAATGGACATTACTTAACAGAACAGGTTTTCTACTCTTCAAATCAGCATCGTGACTCTGCTGGCTCACACCATCACCCAAAGGCCACTGGGAAGGACAGGAGGGGGTTTTTCCTTCTGGGAGGTGAGAGGCATTGAGTGTGTTACACTGGAATTATCTGATGGTGGATAAGCAGCCTCATTTGCGCTGACACTCTCTCTGGGTGATTTGAGCCACCAACAGCCTGTGAGTGAGGGAGTGATCCAAGGACATGTCACATGGGGAAACTAGTAAGAGCAAGTTTTCGGGAAACAACAAATGAAAGAAAAACATGTTTTCTTTGGCGTGCTTACCGGATGAGGCTCAAATGGGGGCTGCACTGCCAAACTCTCTGTGTGATGAGGAGTCGCCTTTTCTGGAACGCCTGCTTCTGCATCCACTGCCACGGCCCACCGGGACAAATTGTAAAATCACATGTGCAACAGCTCTGCCTCCGCACCCCCACCTCTACAGCCAGGAAGAGGCCAACTCCAGGCTGGCTGCAGGCTGCTTGCTCACGGTGCCCAGGTCCCAGGGAGCCTCTGAGAGACGAATGCACCCACCCACCCCACACCATTCCAAAACTTTGTCTTCAAAAGGAGGTGTTTTGGCACAATGATGTTTTAATAAAATTAACGCCCCCTTGGTCTTATGGAGGAGTCCTTGGGTGTTGCAGACAGTTAACACGCTCTTCTGCTAAACTAAAGGTTGGTGGTTTGAGTTCACCCAGAGGTGCCTCAGAAGAAAAGCCTGGCAATCTACTTCCAAAAAATCAGCCACTGAGAACCCTATGGAGCACACTTCTACCATGATGCACGTGGGATGGCCATGAGTTAGAATCAGAGCTTCAAACAAGTTCAGTCCGGTTCAACCCCCTGCTGAGAATTTGCATTTCCACCCCAAATATACTGAATCAGCATCTGCAGTTTAACAAGATCTCCAGGTGATTCTTGTGTATACATCTACATTTTTAACAAGCTCCCCGGATGCTTCTTAAGTATACACCTACGTTTTAATAAATTCCCTAATGATTCTTATGTATATTTGTTAAAATGTAGATGCTGATTCAGTATATCTGGGCTGGAATTGCAGATTCTCAGCAGGGGGTCGAACTGGACTGAACTGGTTCAAAGCCCTGGTAACAAATAGATGATGTAGTTGAGCTAGAGGCAGAGGGTAAGAGAAGCTCAAAGGAGACAGATTTCATCTCCACGTGGACAGACTTTCTTAATAATTAGAGCTGCCCAAAGAACAATGGGCTTCCTCGTAGGTAGTGAGCTCCTCATCATGAGAGGCATTCAAGAAGTGACTAACAGTTTCTTGGCAGAAAAGCTGTTGTATCAGGAGAGAGAAGGCAATGGAGTTAGAAGATCTCCAAGCCCCCTACCTCCAGATATTCTGTGATAATAAACAGCAGGTCTAACTTGTTGCCCCCAGATATGGATGAGTGCAGCTTCTCCGAGTTCCTCTGCCAGCATGAGTGTGTGAACCAGCCTGGCACATACTTCTGCTCCTGCCCCTCTGGCTACATCCTGCTGGACGACAACCGGAGTTGCCAGGGTAAGGCTGTGTAGAGGGAGCTGTGGGGTGGGCCTGACTCAGGGGGTCACTTGGATGTCTTTACCTGGGGAGTCCTGTGTGGCTTTAGTGGGTGCTGACAGAGCACAGAGTGGCAGGCTCTGGGCTGGTGCCTTCCCGTCCTGAGACCCATCTTTTGTCCCCAGAAAGGACATGGGCCGCTCATACTTCTGTAAGGAACTTCCCAGCTGCAGAAAGCACCATCTGCAGCTGGCTGGCTCCTGCCTCCCTAGGCAGGTCTCTGCGTTCCCTCTAAGGACTGCTCCAGACCCAGACAGGACTTCTCATGGCTGGTCCTGCTCACTCGGACCAGGGCCTCTGGAAGGCGGCCTGGACAATATGTATATATGGAGCCCTGGGGGTACAGTGGTTAAGAGCTTGGCTGCTAACCAAAAGGTCGGCAGTTTGAATCCACCCTATGGGGCAGTTCTACTCTGTCTTGTAGGGTCACTGTGAGTCAGAATCAACTTGATGGCAATGGGTTTGGTTTTACGTATATATATATACACACAGACACGCACATATAATGTGCCATAAAAATGTAATGCAAGCTACCAGTGTGAGCCACATGTGCAACTTTTAATTTTCTAGAAGCCACATTAAAAGAGTAAAAAGGAAAAAAAAATTAATTAAAAAAAGTAAAAAGAAACAGGTGAAAGAAATTTTAATAATATATCTTATTTAACACAATATATTCAAAATATTATCACTTCCACATGTAATCAATATAAAAATTGTTGATGAAGTATATTTTATGTTCTTTTCTTTCATACTGAGTTGTCGAAATCCGATGTGTGTTCTACACTTACAGCACATCTCACAGAGTTGTCAAAATCCGATGTGTGTCTTACACTTACAGCACATCTCAATTTGGACAAGCCACATTTGAAGTGCTCAGTAGCTGCATGAGGCTACTGGCTACCATATTGGCCAGCGAAGCTCTATAGTAAGACGCAGGCAGCTGTCCCCAGCCTCCCCCAACACTCCTGGCCCAGGGCCAATGCCTGGGACATGCTGGCCTGCTTCAGCTTCTCCTCTGCCCTGCCTTTCAGACATCAACGAATGTGAGCACAGAAACCACACGTGCACCCTGCTTCAGACTTGCTACAATTTGCAAGGGGGCTTCAAGTGCATCGACCCCATCCGCTGTGAAGAGCCCTATCTGCGCATCAGTGACAAGTGAGCCATGGCTTTCCCTTGGGGAGTGGGTCCATTACATGGAAGGGAGCCAGGAGGCTGGTCAGGGAATGGGGGTGGGGGGTTGGCCTCAGTGTACTCCTCAGAGAATGGGTTTGGACTAGAAATAATTTCTGTTGCTCCGTTCAGCTTTCCTGCCTGTGGGTAAAGCTGTAACTGCCCTCCTACCACACACACGCACACACATACACACACACACGCACACACACACATACACACACACACACACACACACACACACACCCCTTTTCTCTGTCATTCCCCCACTAGTGCCAGAGCTATGTGAAGATGCTCTAGAAAGCTGAGCAAGCAGAGAGGCAGGGTACATGCACCTCCTTTCCCCTTACTGTCTCTGCTCTGGCGACCCAGGGCCTTTAGAGCTGGCTTCTCAAACCTAGTGTGCATAGGACCCACCTGGGATCCTGTTGAAGTGCAGCAGACTCTGATTCACTGGGCCTGAGGTGAGGCCTGAGATTGGGTTCTAACAAGCTCCCGGGTGAGGCCAACGCTGCCCGTCTTCCTGGACTGCGCTGTGAGCAACGAGGTGCTGGAGAGTTTGCTAGAGAGTTCTTAATACTCAAGGGTACTTATTTGCTCCAGTGTTCAGCCTTTTACTGAATCCCCTGATGGCGTTAGACTTGAGGAGAGAAAGTGAAACAACCTCTACCAGGTGTATGCGCTGTTGTCGTTGTGTGCCATCAAGTTGATTCCAACTCCTAGTGACCCTACAGGGCAGAGTAGAACTGCCCCATAGGGTTTCCAAGGCTGTAGTCTTTACGGAAGAAGCCCTGGTGGTGCAGTGGTTAAAGCGCTCGGCTGCAAAAAAAAAAAAAAGCCTGCTTCCATAAAGACGACAGCCTTGGAAACCCTATAGGGCAGTTCTGCTTTGCCCTTTAGGGTCGCTATGAGTCAGAATCGACTCAACGACAGTGGAGGTTTTGGAATCTTTATGGAAGCAGACTGCCACATATTTCTCCTGCAGAGTGGCTGGTGGGTTTGAACCTCGAACCTTTCAGTTAGCAGCCGAGCGCTTTACCACTGTGCTGCCAGGGCTCCTGGTAAATGCACCAGGACAGTGTTTTTCTGTTCCTGGCATGCTAGGGGTTCATTTTCCTTCTCTTTTAGCCCTGATTTAGCCATCTCAGTTCCTCCTCAGTCTCTCCATGTCCATGTCTGCATGCGTGCGCGCGCGCGCACACACACACACACACACACACACACACACACCTGCTTGTATATCTTCTGCTTTCTTCTCTTCCAAACAATCGCACGTTAATACCCCTGAGCATCAGATGCACCCATCTGCTCTCTGGGAACTCTTCATCTAAGAGAGGGATTCACGGCTTACCAGTGTAGCTCCGTTTCTGATCAAAAGCTTGCAAAACAGAGGACACAGAGCCGGGACAGGCAGGTCCCTTAGATCTTCACTTGTTGCTGAGGGCTGTGCGCCATCAGAACAGAGTTCTCTGATTGCTGGCCCAAAGCAGTTTGTGGTAGAGTAGAGCTACAGCTGCTCCTCCGGGCTGCCGTTTCGGGTTCTCTCTGGGTTCCCAAAATTGTCCTTGTGTGTGGTTGGGGAACCGACCCAGTTCAGGCCAGAGAACCGAGCTGGTGTTACCGGTAACGTCCCTGACCTGACGGTGAAAATGAGCAAGGACTCCCTACCTCCAGGCCATCCCAGTCTCCCTCCACCCGCGTCCTTCCAGCTCTTCCTCCTGCCAGGTGTCCTGTACGCCTGCCAACCTGATCAGGACTTGCTCTCATCTTTCCCCACACCCCAGCCTCCCTGCTTTTGTGCACACGCTTCCTGCCGTATGGAAGGCATTCCACCCAGCACCACAGAACCAGATCTGCCCCATCCTTCAGATCTCAGCTCAAATGCCACCTCTCCCAGCTGCCTGTGATCCTCTTCAGCTGGAAGTGATCACTCCCTCTTCTAAACATCTTTTAGGAAACAATTAGTTTCCATGTGTCGCGTGACATTTGAATGTGGCCATTTTGGCACCAGGGCCATTTTGACTTCGTTATTTCGATAGAGATATTTTGATGCAGCCTTTAAAAATGAACCTTTAGAAGTTCTTTCATTTATTCCTTTATTAAATATTAGTGAACTCCTGTTATATGTCAGACACCATGCTAGGTGCTATGGTTTTTGCTTTTATGGGAATTAGAGTCTAGTGGAGGAGAAAAACCTTAAATAAATTGTCACATAAATGAATATATAATTAGAGATAGTGATAGAATCACCGGTTGCGGTCCAGTTAATTCAGATTCGTGGCAACCATGTCATGTGTCAGAGTAGAACTGCTCCATAGAGTTTTCAGTGGCTGTTTTTTTTCAGAAGTAGATCACCAGCCTTTCTTCTGAGACACCTCTGGGTGGACTTGACCCTCCAACCTTTTGGTTAGCAGCTGAGCGCTTAACCGTTTGCACCACCTGGGAATGTGTACAGTGAACAGGAAGAATGGAAGTTTATAAGAAGGAAGAGTAGGCTGGATCTGGTCGTGACTGGGGATTCAGAAAGCCCCTCTGAGGATATGTCATTTGGGCTGTATGGGGAAGGTGGATTGACATCAATTAAACAGAGTAGAAGAGCAGAGGGAACTGTATGTGCAAAGGCTATGAGGCAGGAGTGACCTTGATGCCTTCCTGGAATGGAAGCAGCCCGAGTTGCCTCAGCTTAGTGAGTGAAGTGGACTGAGAGGAGGTTAGAGAAATTGACAGAGGCCAGACCCGTGAGGCCTTAGAGGCTGCAGTAGGTGTTTGGTTTTTATTCATGGTGCCATAGGTGGCCCCTGAAGAGCCTTAAGCAGGGGAAGCACATAAGCTGATTTATGTTTGACAGAGGACACTCTGGTTGTTGTGTAAAGAATGGATTAGCGGGAGAGGGACCCATTAGGAGGCTGTCACAGAGGTCTAGGGGTGAGATGATGATGGCCTGGACAGCAGCCACCATGACAGTGGAGATGGTGAGAAATGGTTGGATTTGGACTATATTTTGGAAGTAGAATCAACAGGTCTTGGGATAGATTGGAAGTTAGCGGAGAGCAACAGAGACATGACAAAGCTGACTTGCAGTTCTGACCACCAAGACGTATGTCAACAGACATCTCCATCCTATGCTGAATTTCACCACTAGGGGTAGTCTCAGGGATGAGGTGAGGGGTGGGGGTTAGAGATGAATCAAGGGATGTCTGAAACAGACATTCTTTGGGAATAATAGCCAACGATCTTATCTTCTGGATGAATCTCTTCATTCTGATATATTTCTGCTCTGTTTTTACAACAGGCTACAAGGTTATTTTCGCTACTCAAAGCATCTTCTTTGATGGGGTCTTGGCTTTCAACTTTTGGTTGGGGTTGGGTTGTTGTAGTTTATTCTGCCAGTTTCCCATATATGGTTTTGCCTTGCTTTTCTGGACTGTTCCTTCTATTCAGATTCCTGATGGTTTGGAAGGGTCAAGAACATGAATTGACAAGTAAATAGAAGTTGTAAATGGCAATGGTCTATGTATTCCTTATGCCCACTTCTCATTAAAAAAAAAAGTCAGTAATTATAGATTATGACCGTACTGTTACTAGCGTTTCAAATTAGCTGCTTCGTATTAGAGATATTTGTATCTATGATTTATTTTTCCTGCTAGAAGGTGAACTACTAGAGGTCAGAATCTTATTTATCATTGCATTTTCTAAGTGTCTAACATTGTGTCTTATATGTAGTGAGTTCTGAGTTCTTGTTTATTGAACAAAAAGATAAAACTGTGTTCCATGTAGACTGGGCTAAGTGCAAAAGAGAACGTAAAAGGGCCCCCGAGACCTGTCAAATCTAATGTAATTTCACACTTTTACAATTTCTCAGTGAGTAGTAGAGAATGATTGCTGGGGAAGTCAGGGGCTATGTGACCAGTGGCACACCCCACCACCTCAACACATGACAAAAGCAAGTGCGTTAGAGAATGTCCCAGCATTCTGAAAACCAGAGATCTAAGGTTTGTGTTCCAGGAACCAGAACATCTGATTAACCAGAAGTGGCCATTGCCTGAGAAACAGGTCACTCACCGACATGCTGGAGAGTTTTTAGACTAGAGTCAAGACCTGAGAGGTTCTACAGCTACAGCATTTGGTTGATAAACGTGTTACAGCATTTGGATGGTAAAAGTAGGGTGGCCTCATCTCTAGTTTGCTAAGTAAGGAGGTAACACAGCCAGCATCTGGAAAGGATTTACTGACATATTGCACCATTTCCCTTCCTAATAGCCACTGTATGTGTCCCACTGAGAATCCTGGCTGCAGAGACCAGCCCTTCACCATCTTGTACCGGGACATGGATGTGGTATCAGGACGCTCTGTTCCTGCTGACATCTTCCAAATGCAAGCGACGACCCGCTACCCTGGGGCCTATTACATTTTCCAGATCAAGTCTGGGAACGAGGGCAGAGAATTCTATATGCGGGTAAGAGCAAGCGGTGAGCAGTGGTCGACACCCTTAACAATGGCGTTGTGTGGTCTATCCTAGGAACGTGCTGCTAGAAACAGGTAAGAGTGCAGCTGGGGTGTCGGGGCGGCAGGTGTGAAGAGAGAAGAGTGGAGTGAGTGGGAGTCAGGAGTTTTTAAGGTTCTGATGACCTTGTGAAAGATGCTTCTCCTCTGTGAACCTTGGGGTCCTCATCTAAAAAAGTGATAAGTTAGGCCAACATGCAATCTTAGGTGTCTTCTAAAGTTCTGTGGGAGAGACATTCACAAAGCCATATATCCATTCACCCATTTGAAAAATACTTGTTAGGTGCTTATTATGCACTTCTAGGGGGCAGTGATGGTTCGGTGGTAGAATTCTTGCCTTCCATGTGGGCACCTGGGTTCACTTCCTGGCTAGTGCACCTCGTGCACAGCCACCACCCATCCGGCAGTGGAGGTTTGGGTGTTGATATGATGCTGAACAGGTTTAGGCAGAGTTTCCAGCCTAAGATGGACTAGGAAGAAAGGCCTTCTGAGCTACTTCTGAAAATCAGTCAGTCAAAACCCTATGGATCACAATGGTCTGATCTACCAAACAATCGTAGGGATGACGCAGGACCAGGCAGCATCTTTTCCATTGTACGTGGGGTCACAATGAGTCGGGGACAAACTCTACAGCAGCTTACACCAACAACATGCATATCTAGAAACTGAGGATACATCAGTGAGCAAACATTCCCGAATTGCTGCCCTCATGATGCTTCCATTCCAGGGATTATAAAGGCATGGCTCACAGGAGTGGACTCTACCTGCGTTGTCCAACATGGTGGCCACTAGTCTACACATGGCTACGTAAATTTAAATTCAACAAATTAAAATGAAGCAAAATAAAAATTGAGTTCCTCAGTGGCACTAGCCACATTTCAAGTGCTCGGTAGCCGTGTTACTGCTGTTGGATAGCTCAGATATAAAACACTTTCATCATTGCCAAAAGTTCAGCACTGACTTATCCATATCAGTAAAAACGTTTTAGAGCACACATCCTAAACTAGGTTTGCTTATTTATAAACTACATGCATGTAATACTCTACAATTTATATTCTTGAGCTTTGTCTCCTGGTCCTGCTGGGGTAATCACAGCTCTCTAGAGACCACGCACTTGGAGTGAAGTTTTACACGTGTCATTGTGAATTAAAGCCACCTAGGGCACTTGTCCAAAAAGCAAATACCAGAGCTTCATCTCCAGAGAATCTATTTCAGAAGATACAGGTGGACCCCCTGACTGGAAGCTTCTGCTAGTCCCCTGACTTTCACAGCAACTAGGGACCAGTCCCTGGAGAAGGATATCATGCTTGGTAAAGTACGGGGTTGGTGAAAAAGAGGAAGACCCTCAACGAGATGGATTGACACAGTGGCTGTAACAATGGGCTCAAGCATAGCACTGATTATGAGGATGGCGCAGGGACGAGCAGTGTTTCGTTCTGTTGTACACAGGGTGGCTATGAGTCAGGACCGACTTGACAGCATCTAACGTCAACAACAGGGAACTCTTGAAGCTCACAGAGCTGAGCTGTGTGTGGCCTGTGCCCTCTCTGAGAATGCTGAGAAGGGCCCTAATACTTTGGTATTTATTCGGAGGAGGGTACCAGGTGCTGCAGGGACCTAGGTACTTCATGAGAATGGCTAAAGGAACTTATTTGCAAAGTGAGATGGGAAGACTTGGAGCAGGGATGGGGGAGGAGAGGTGGTTCCTGGCTTGAAAGGTCCAAAGGACTGTACCTAGGAAGAGAAAACAGGCTTGGTATGTGGGGCCTTGTGAAGCCACAGGGCACTAGGGCAGAAAGACAAAGAGAAATACGCCAGATAAGGCTGGGCTTCCAAGGGTCCAAGCTGTCCAAAACTGCAGCCCTCCTGAGGAGATCCAACTGGAGCCAGGCTGATCTGCTTCCAGGCGGTGATCTACAGCTACCAGCTGTGTGACGTTGGGTGTGTTACCTAAACTCTCTGAGCGTCGATTTCCTCATCTGTACCAAAAAAAAAAAAAAAAACACCCGCTGCCATCAAGTCAGTTCTGACTCATAGCGACCCTACTACAGAACAGAGTAGAATTGCCCCATAGGGTTTCCAAGGCTGTAAATCTTTACGGAAGCAGACTGCCACATCTTCCTCCTGCGAAATCGCTGGTGTTTTGAACTGCTGATCTTTCAGTTAGCAGTAGAGCACTTTAACTGCTGTGCCACCATGGCTCCCTCTTCATCTGTAAAGAGAGGATAATAATAGTTTTTCTGTAAGATTAAATGAAATCATCTACTTAGTGCAGTGCCTGGAATAGAGAATGATTTTATCAAATAAGCAGGGTTTGTCGGGGTGAAACCATTCAGTAACTTCCTTTTTCTCACACTGCTGTTTCCAACCCACTCTTCCACCCACCTAGATGACATCTCAGGTTGATCCCGTAGGATTTCCAGGCACTTGGTTATTTTTGAGTTGTCCATTCTCCATGTCAAAGGTCTGTGCTCGTTCAGATGGAACTGTCAACCTCTCCATCTCTCGTTCAGTGGGAAACTCTTCCCGTCTCCGGGCTCAGAGCAAGGAGGGCTGTGGCTGGCCTCTTACTGCCATCTTCCTCTTCTGCTCCTCCCCTTCCTCACTGACTGCGCCCTCTGGTTCCTCCAGGGTTGAGGGGGCAAGTACAGGTGGTGGAAGGGTAAGGTTAGGGTGCTTGAGGTGGGGCTGGTAAAAAAACAAATGAAACAAAAAAAAAAAAAATTACTGCCATCGAGTCGATTCCAACTCATAGCAACCCTATAGGACAGAGCAGAACTGCCCCATAGGGTTTCCAAGACTAATCTTTATGGAAGCAGACTGCCACATCTTTCTCCCGTGGAGTGACTGACGGGTTCAAACTACCAAACTTTTGGTTAGCAGCCGAGTGCTTTAACCACTGTGCCACCAGGGCTCCTTGGCCCTGGTAAGTGTGTTTAATAAAACTCTTGTAGGCTGGAGGTGATAATAGAGAAACAGATCTGGTTTGGGTCACTGCTTTGCAAATCCTGTGAAACAACAACCGAGAAACCAAAACCAAGCCAGTTGCTGCCAAGTCAGTTCTGACTCATGTCAAGCCCTTGTGTGTCCAAGTAGGACTGTGCTGCATAGGGTTTTCAGCGGCTGTCACCTTTCAGAAGTAGATTGCCATGCTTTTCTCCTGAGGCCCCTCTGAGGGGACTCAAACTGTCAACCTTTTGGTTAGCAGCAAAGCATGTTACCCGTTTGTGCCACGTACGTGGCCTGTATCAACAACAGGAACCACAGAAATAGCAGCAGCAGCGGCAGCGAGCTGTATCCAGTGTGCATCATGCGGCGGGCACTATTCCCAGTGCTTTTCGTAGATCAAGTGCTTTGATGTTCACCACGCCTGTGATAACCTGTGAAAAAAACCATTGTTGTCAAGTCCAATTCATAGCGAACCTATAGGACAGAGTAGAACTGCACTGTAGGGTTTCCAAGGCTGTAATCTTTACAGAAGGGAGCCCTGGTGGGGCAATGGTTAAGTGCTCAGCTGCTAACCGATAGGTTGGTGGTTCTAACCCACCAGCCGGTCCACAAGAGAAAGATGTGGCAGTCTGCTTCCGTGAAGATTACAGCCTTGAAAAACTCTATGGGGCAGTTCTTCTCTGTCCTGTCTATAGGGTTGCTGTGAATCAGAATCAACTCAACAGCAATGGGTTTTGTTTGAATCTTTGCAAGAGCAGAATGCCACATCTTTCTCCTGCACAGTGGCTGGAAAGTTTGAACCACTGACCTTTTTCGATTAGCAGTCGAGCCCTTAACCACTGCACTACCAGGGCTTCTTCCGGCCCTGTCTTACCATCCTGATTTTACAGATGAGAACCCTGAGGCACAGAGAGGCTAAGTAACTTGCTCAAGATCTCACCAGAGCTAGTAAGTACCAGAGCAGGATTTGAACCTAGGTACTCTGGCGCCAAAATCTGTAGATACTTCTACGCTGCTCTTTAAAATGCGGGAAATTTTCAGCTACTCTTTTAGTTTTGGAGTCGCAGCAGAAATTGAAGCAACAAGAAAAGTCTATTTTAACATCCTGTAGCAATAGAAAGTGCTCAAGAAGCATTAGTCATTGTTGTGTAAATGACGTGGTTGCCACTGCTACTGCTCCTGCTGCTGCAGTTAGGAGGCGTGAGCTCCTGGGCCGTGGACACGAGCCCAGAGAAGTTGCAAGTGCTGTGGAACAGGGTGGATCATCGTGTGGGAGGCTGGGTTGGATGGTGGTTCAGGCTCCCCCACACTGAGATTCAGTGATTTTATTACTTGAGTGCTGAATAGCCTCATCTGACCCAGCAGGCAAGGAGCATACACACACATGCACGCACACATAATACACATACACACAATGCACAATGCCCACATGCACATACCCAATGCACACATGCACGTACATGCACACACACACATGCACACACATGTGCCCACATACACGCATGCGCGAGCACAGGTCCCTTTCACCAGCCCTGTTGGCAGCCTGTCCCACACAGAGTGCTCAACAGAGGACTGGTGATTGGCTTTGGCCAGGTGTCTTGGGGACACAACTAGGGCAAGAAGGAGCATGGTCACAGGGCTCATGCATTAATCCATGACACACATGGGTCAGGTGGCAGGGCCAAGGGAAGCTGACTTGCCATCCACTCCACAAGCTGATTCAGAACAATCCTGAGTGTGTATGGGAGTGGGGCCAAGAAGACACATGCCCGGTGGGCTGTTTGCAGCCTACTGCCACTGCAGTCACTCCGCCAGCATTCGGTCATTCACGCCCTCCCACTGTCACCAACATTTATGAAGCACCACCACAAGTATGGCTTTGATTTGGACACCGAGAGTTCAAAATACACAGGATGTCCCCTCTACGTTTGAGGACCTTACACTATAGAGGGCGGGGGACAGAAAACCCCGCAAACACCTACAACCCAAAAGGATGGTTCTAAA